TTTTACTGCAAAAAAAAATCCTATTATGAAAAATTAAATTTCTGCTTAGAAAATACATTTATTATTATTTTATTTATTTAACAATTTTTTTATTGACCAAAGTTTATTATTTTTTACAAGAATTCTAGTTGAAACTAAACAATTTTTTGCACATCATTTTTCTCCCCTTATTTTTATACATTTTCTTTTTCTACGTTATTAATTTCCAATGCGATCAATTGACTGCTTGTATATATTTCATTTTTTTTGGTGTTGCATGAAACATATTGGATGTGTCCATGGGAATATTCCCAGTGGTCCGTATAAACCGAGTATAAACATTGGGGCTACTGCTGCTGCACCTCTCCCCTTCTCGTTGGGCTTACATTAACCGTGACTTTATAGAACTACTGCTTCACGAGTGTTTGCAGTAAACATGATGGGTGGTGTTAATTATTATGGTATGGGATATCATTACTCCGATGGGTTCGCACCGGCGGGAGGGCGACACCATCCCCCGGGTATCGCATTACAGATCGACCGATTCTCATCCCTATCCCTATCCGCAGCATTAACCTCCACGAAATCAATAGAAAATCTAGCTTAATACCAAACACTCTGATTTCATTCTACTAGGATTCGAGTGCTTCAATCTTTAAACAGTTTCATCATAACAATGATGATTATAGATTTAATATTGAAATTACTTAAATATTTTTGTAATTATTTACATTACTCTTGTCTAAAATAACAAAAAATGTGAAAAATTTGAACGTAATTATGTATTCAAATATAAACATTATTAGTAAATTTTCATAAGATTTTAGAAACTTAATAGAAATATATTTATTTTTTATGTTATTATAATTTATTTCCATTATCAATTTTCTAAGATAATTTTGATGAATTTCATGAAGTCAGTATTGAAGTTATTAGAGTTATAACAAAAACAATTGAATTTTTCGATTTTTTTTAAATCATTGAATTACGTAACAGAACTTTAGAAATTCTGAAAGTCAACAAAATAATCATGCAAATAACTGAAAGAAATTGATACAATAAGTTTTTTTTGTAGCGTTTTCAGAAAATCTAAATAAAATTAAATTACTTTACCAATATTTCAGTACCTAATTGATTATACTTCTTAGTAAATTTTACTAATGATTCTAATAAATGACTTATAGTTAAAAAACTTATACATTTAAAAAACAAGTAATGAAAAATATTTGTATTTTTGATTTAGTTGCTTATACAATAAATTTTTTGAAATATTTAATATTTTTAGAGGTTGTAAACTGAAAATTGAGTATTTTTAATATTGAGAATTAGAAGAATTAAGTCAATTTTAAAATTATTATTGGATAAATATAATTTTTAATACATGTTATAGATTTTTGTAAAGAGATTTCAATGAATAATGGTTATCAAGTGTAAGTCTTATGATTTCTTAGAAATATATTTATTTTTTATGTTATTATAATTTATTTCCATTATCAATTTTCTAAGATAATTTTGATGAATTTCATGAAGTCAGTATTGAAGTTATTAGAGTTATAACAAAAACAATTACATTTTTCGATGTTTTTTTAAATAATTGAATTACGTAACAGAACTTTAGAAATTCTGAAAGTCAACAAAATAATCATGCAAATAAATGAAAGAAATTGATACAATAAGTTTTTATTATAGCGTTTTCAGAAAATCTATATAAAATTAAATCACTTTACCAATATTTCTGTATCTCTTAATGATATATAGTTAAAAAACATATACAATTTAGAAAAATAATTGTAAAATATTTGTATTTTTAATTTCGTTTGCTTTTACAATAAACTTTTTGAAATATTTAATATTTTTAAAGGTAGTAAACTGAGTATTTTTGATGTAATTTTAATATTGAGAATTTAAAGAAATAAGTAAATTTTAAAATTATTATTGGATAAATATAATTTTGAATACATGTTATAGGTTTTTGTAAAGAGATTTCAATGAATAATGGTTATCAAGTGTAAGACTTGTGATTTCTTAGTAATATAAATAATGTCTATAATTTAGATTTTCATGTGGAGAAAGAGAATGGATTGAGTATCTAAATTATATAACGTGTTCGTCGGGCGTGTCGTGCGTGATTCGGACGAGAGAGGAGAACAAAAACCGTGAAAGAAAAAAAAAGAGCAAAAATATGCGAAATGAAAAGTAGAAATAATGCGAGTGTCGAGCAGGGATGAGGGTCGGTATGGTGCGTATGAACAATGAGCTCGACATATGCATGACTGAATGGGCGCCATTAGTCTCTAAGTACGGCACTCGGCGGCATTTAGACGATATGTGTAATTTGCACTCTCTCGACTGAAAACGGCAGCCGTGTATTTTTCGAGCCGTAAATCCTGAAAATCTTTTCCCAAGATTACTATCATTATCGCAACGCGCATCCAGTGTGCCATGAAATCGGAACATTCTCGTGTTTTCCTGCGAGGCAATTCCCCGATCCCTGCGAGCTCTCACACTCATCATTCTCCTCTATCTCCCACTCACTCTGCCACACTTGTATAGAGCGGAGAAGTATTGTTCGATGGTGGAAAAGGGTGGAGGATTTCGTGCGAGAAAGGGTGTGTGTGTGAGAGAGATAGAGATAAATATATAGGGAAACAGAGAGAGAAGGAGAGAGAGTGAGCAAATTTCTGGATTGCTGGAAATTGGGGCGACGGTGGTGACGTGCGATGGGGATGAGTCCAATCAGTGCCCATTCATTAGACACTTCAGTTAAGTGCAGCCTCCATCTGCACGAACCGTGAAGCGACACCTCGACAAATGCATTGTTGATCACCACCAAACATCTCCAAGTTAAATATTTTACAGGTTTCCTGCAACTATTCTGAAGAAACCAATGATATTTCACTAAATATATAAAAATCAATAAAAAAGTATTGGTATATGGCAAAGATCTATCGAAAGCAATTATGTTTTAATATTTCTAAGAAAGTAGAAAATGTCCAAAGAAAGCTCAATTTTAAGAAATAAATGGTATTTCATTAAATATCTTTAGATTCGAAAGGAAACAATTACATTTAACAATATTTACAAAGAATATTATATAAATAATAATAAATTTATAAAGCAATTCAAAACTAAATGAAGTCATCATAGTTTTATAAAGTTTCACGAAATATGTGTAGATACAAAAGAAAATTATTAAATTGTCTTGAAATTTGAGTATTTATAAATCCAAATAATTTTCTATATCTTAAATTATTAAGTTTGTTAATAAATCATAGTAATTTATAAAAAAAATAAACACTACTTTCATAAAGTTATTTAGCAATATGATAAGAACGGATTTGTAACAAAAATAATTAATTTTTTAATTATTTGTATAATTAATTAATTAAAAACTTAATATTTGAAGATTGTATAAAGTTATTAATATAAAGTTATTAAAATAATTGTATAGTGATAATAAGGGTGTATTCTGATGGCAGTACCCTCTATGTTTCTACATCGAACAACGACCAGCACATCCTGCTAGTCGCTCGAGGGCATCGTCGCCCTCTATAGGAGGAAGGACGAACAATGAATCGTCCTGCGGCCGCAGGACTCCTCAAAACCCATGCCTTTTTGGCGGAGTGCAGGAATCCGAATTTCGCAAGCAGACGATGCGCGTTTAGATTCGCGGCATCTGTTGAATGCCGACAGAGATAAGGGCGGAAAATAATAAGCAGTAAAAGTCACCAACCACCATCGCCACCGTACATCACACACAGAGATCCCCTTTGATTAAAATAAAAAAATATATATACATACACTCACAAAGAACGAAAGAGATGCGAGTGAAAAAAAGAAGTAATGTGTGTATAGATAGGGGAGTAAACACATTTCGTTTGCGCAAAAGTTCTTTATCTTTCAATTCACAATGTAGCATTGTTATAATTTCATTTGATTTTTAAATTAGGATAATCATTATTAAAAGAAAATAATTTGTTTGAATAATATAGATTTGTTTATGTTTATTTGAATAAATTTTAGTTTGAAGCAGTTTCACTAATTAGTAATTCAATTGTAGTAATTCTAGCAATTTATTTTAGTTAAATTAAGATTAGATAAAGTTAATTCAAGTTTGTTCAAATTATTTGACTTTAGTTCATGTTAGTTTTAAAATTGTTCAATTCAGTTTCAGTTTTGTTTCAAATAGTTTACGATATGTTTTTTAATTAAATAACATTGAGACTTTTAGTAAACTATTTATCACAGAAATATTGATTTTACTACATATAGTAATTAAAATCATTTAAAAGAAGTTCATGTTACGTTGATTACTTTATAAAGTAATTGTGTTTATAAATAGAGCAGCAATTAACGAATCATCAAGTAAATAAACTTTGACTTTGAACTGGTTGATGAAAGGGTTGTGAATCCTTATTAAATGTTGCGTGAAGGGCAAAACAGGGGTGTGTAGAAGAAAGATAGAGAAATGAAGATGGATAAATAGAGACAGGGAAAGGGAGAGAAGGGAACTTTTTAAGTCCTTATTTATCTACGGAACGTAGTTAATTCGGTAGTCGTCGGGCGAAATGATAAAGTTCGTACAGTCGGGCCCGGGCCCATAAAGATTTGCATATTATATGTACGTATCTATGTATATAAATATATATACATATAATCCCCGTCGGTTTGTTGCGAAGAAGAAGTGCAATAAACGGGAAGGGGGGTCCACGCGCGCTTTCGCTCCGGGCAACCCGGAAACGGCAGGGACGTGTGGCCCCGCCATTCCAGACCGGAAATACAGAGTATTAGTCATAGTTAGGGAAATCTACGGCCGCGCAAGATGCTAGTCGTTGCATTGTCTACGGATCGTCCCTGTCTCCTATCCCTTATACAACTACTGTATACCATAATGTATCCCACGTTCTGGCTCGACGCGTATGTGCGAAATATCAATTCCTCCCTTATTCATGCGCACACGTACATGATTATTTATTATAAATGATACTTGCAGTAATGTTGAATTGATTCAAACTTACCACACTTCGTTCTGCTGAGGCTCTCAGAAATGCTGTTGTACGACTTAGGCGATGATAGATGTGTGTGGCTAGATTTCTCTGATCTTTCGATACCTGAAAAACAAAAAAGAAAAATTAGTAAATACTTCAACACATCCTTACTACAATTTAAACAGCGATACAATTTGTCCATTATACACGTATTATTCTCTATAGTTTTAGTGTTAATATGAATATTCAATATTGATAATAGAAGTCTTGATAATTGAGAAATAAAAGAAATTGTAAGGACACATGAAATTTAATTACTTCAATTTTGTCAGTAAATTGTATAAATTTTACAATAGATAAAATTTTACTCTTATACTCGTATTATTCCTTATAGTTTTAACTTTAGCATTAATATTCAATAACATTCTTGGTAATCGAGAAAGAGAAGAAAATGTAAATACAAAAACAAATGTTATTCTTACTTATCTTTCGAATAGATTCAAATCCATTAATGAAAGTAAGCTACTAATCTTGCGGTTAATTGAATTACTAATCTTTAGTGAAACACAATTATCATTGCTAAAACTTGATCCATTTAAGTTTGTGTTCTCGTCGAACTTGAGAGCTAATTAACGAATTGTAGCAATTAGTGTTGACGATTAAGATACAGTTGAAACTAGTTCAGATTTGCACCTTGTATCATCGCAATTTAACTTGTACCAACTTTAGGGCCAACTTGCTTTGCCATTCAACCCCACTCGTATCTTGCGCAACAATCGTTATCGCAATTCCGAGTATGTTACATAATGTATGTACACGCTGGGAACTCGGAATCGCTTCTGGTTTTGGATGTGGGGTGGATGTTGGATGGTGGTGAGAGTGAGATAGAGCTCTTGTCGTTGATTAATAGACTAGGAGCCACCCATTTAGCAGTTACTAAGTCTCGGCTGGTATCTTTGCTTTCACCCTCTCTCTCTTCCTCTTACGCAATCCTTGCTTTAGTTCTCTTCGCTCACTCCCCTAGCTCGGATAATCAGATAAAGCCGACGTCGGGGGTGGCAACATAGGAGGCGACGGGTGAAACGGTCGGTCTACGGGGGTTGGGGGGTGAGGCTGATCTCTCTCTACGCCAACACACGCCAATCCGGGTGGTCCGGCTTTAATTCAATTACTCCGATAACATGTCCTGATATATATATACACAGCCTTTTTCTAACCGATAATATTTTCAATCAATCTCTGCGGCTTCAAAATAACACCCTGTTCGTCAAATATTAAGTGATTGATTCGCTTATCTGACTTCTAACGTTTGCAAAGTTTCACACTTCAAAATATATAAAAATAACATACATTTAAAAATCTCCAATAAATTTGGAAAACATTAATAACAATAAGAAATGAAATAATGAAATAATGATAATTATTTAACGTTAGTTGATGTGAATTTATGAATGGGAATTTATGATTGAGTAAAAATCAAAGTATGCGTAGAAAAAAATTAAATCTAAAACAAAACTATTTGGAAACGTCAGTTTTCATTAATATTTGATAATCATATATTTTTTTAAATCGAAAGTGAATTGGATTTACTTAGAAAAGTGTGAATATCAAAGAAGTTAAATAAAGTGAATCAAACTGAAATGGAATTGAAAGCATCAGATGTAATTGTAGAATAACGAAACGAAAGATCATGATTATTATGTGTACATAAACCAAACATTATGGAATAATTCAGGTATTTAAAGTTTGTACATTACCTTAATTACAAAATTCACTGTTACATCATGGATCAGTTTTTAATTAATCACATTGTTTCACTATTGTTATTACACAACCAACAACAACTACTATTAAGTTCACATCAATGTTACCAACTATTAAATAATTGTATCATTTCTTTAATTTGGAATGAACAAAAAGAAGAAGCGAAACAAATGACGCACGATATTTACAACCAGAAAATAATAAACAACTTTTATGCATTTCTTAAGAATAAGATTTTAATTGAACATTTTTTAAATAAATTTTCAATTAAAATTTAAAACATTTATATATTTTTTATGTTTGACGTGAAGTTGAAGTTCCGTATTTTCCGATTTAGTTTTAAGTTGGTAAAATTGGAAAAATTGACGAATTGAAAGCATCAGATGTACTTATAGAATAACGAAACAAAAGATCACCAGTGATTATTATGTATACATAAACCAAACATTATGGAATAATTCAGGTATTTAAAGTTTAAGTACGATATTTTACATTACCTTAATTACAAAATTCACTGTTACATCATGGATCAGTTTTTAATTAATCACATTGTTTCACTATTCTTATTACACAACCAACAACAACTACTGTTAAGTTCACATCAATGTTACCAACTATTAAATAAATGTATCATTTCTTTAATTTGGAATGAAAAAAAAAAAAAAGCGAAACAAATGACGCACGATATTTACTACCAGAAAATAATAAACAATTTCTATGCATTTCTTAAGAATAAGATTTTAATTGAAGATTTTTGAAATATCCTTTCAATTAAAATTTAAAACATTTATATATTTTTGATGTTTGACGTGACGTTGAAGTTCCGTATTTTCCGTATTTTCCGATTTAGTTTTAAGTTGGTAAAATTGGTGAATTGAAAGCATCAGATGTACTTATAGAATAACGAAACAAAAGATCACCAGTGATTATTATATGTTTATAAACCAAACATTATAGAATAATTCAGGTATTTAAAGTTTTTACATTACCTTAATTACAAAATTCACTGTTACATCATGGATCAGTTTTTAATGAATCACATTATTTCACTATTCTTATTACACAACCAACAACAACTACTGTTAAGTTTACATCAATGTTACCAACTATTAAATAATTGTATCATTTCTTTAATTTGGAATAAACAAAAAGAAGAAGCGAAACAAATGACGCACGATATTTACAACCAGAAAATAATAAACAATTTCTATGCATTTCTTAAGAATAAGATTTTAATTGAAGATTTTTTAAATATCCTTTCAATTAAAATTTAAAACATTTATATATTTTTTATGTTTGACGTGACGTTGAAGTTCCGTATTTTCCGATTTAGTTTTAAGTTGGTAAAATTGGTGAATTGAAAGCATCAGATATAATTGTAGAATAACGAAACGAAAGATCATCAGTGATTATTATGTGTACATAAATCAAACATTATGGAATAATTCAGGTATTTAAAGTTTAAGTACGATATTTTACACTACCTTAATTACAAAATTCACTGTTACATCATGGATCAGTTTTTAATGTATCACATTGTTTCACTATTGTTATTACACAACCAACAACAACTACTGTTAAGTCCACATCAATGTTACCAACTATTAAATAAATGTATCATTTCTTTAATTTGGAATAAACAAATAGAAGAAGCGAAACAAATAACGCACCATATTTATTACCAGAAAATAATGAACAATTTCTATGCATTTCTTAAGAATAAGATTTTAATTCAACATTTTTGAAATATCCTTTCAATTAAAATTTAAAACATTTATATAATTTTTACGTTTGACGTGACGTTGAAGTTCCGTATTTTTCTATTTAGTTTTAAGTTGGTAAAATTTTAAAAAGTAAATCTATTGCTACAAGTCGTTGCTTAGGTAACAATGTGAATCAATGCAACCATTTTTACTTATATCATTTATTATAATTATATAAAAGTGATATTAATATTAAGTATGTTTTTTTTATTGATCACGTTGTTACCTAGGTAACTATTAGACTTATATACGAATAGGTTTTCTTATTAATAGTTAAATAGTATAAGTTATTGTATTAATTAGATTTGTGGGTATGTAAATGTTTGCAAGTTAGGGTAATCTGTGAGGATTTGATTCAATGAGAGTGTATGCATTTGGGATTAGCGGAGTCTATGGTGTGTAATCCCTTTTGGGGAAGGGCGCACTACACATGTAATCGGTTTAAATAAAACAAACCTAATCAGATCTTAATAACAATAAAGTATAGTTTCGATGCGTGCGAGGGAGCGAGATGAACATGTACAGATTAAACATAACAAATGTGTGTTGACAGGTTCGCAGTTGGCGTGGAGTGTGTGTGTGTGTGTATGTATGTATGTGCGAGGGGTCGACTAGGGGCATATGTTTCAAGCCATTTAACGAATTAGGGCGTAAGGCCCCAATTTCTCCCTATACCACTTTCTCTATATCCCTCTTCGTCCTTCGCATATTCACGAATCACGCATCCCGCAAAAATAGTGTGAACTAGAGAGAGATGGTTCTCTTGGTAAAAGGCAATTCCCACGACTCGGACCGGTCGCACTAACTAAACAATTCGCAATTAAAAATGATTGTTAAATGAACATCGACTGCGCGAAGTCCACCCCACCTCTTGTGTATACATGTACACACACAGAGTGTGGATGATGATGATGATGATCATCGTCACTTTTTACGTGCGGCCGGCCACAAATCAATATTGGTTATGCGATCGCGCGGCCAAATTGATAGTGACGTACATCCGGGGTCTAATTGACGTGTGCCCAGTGATTGATGCCCCGCTTCCGGCCGCCATTTTGGAAACCGAGAGCTTAATTGCTATCATAGTTCTGGCGGCAGAGCGGAGGCGGCTGCGATTGTTTTTCATACCGACAACCCCTGCCGACTGCTCCGATATCAATTTATTATCCATCATCAAAAGGAACATCAATGAAAAATCAGTCGGAATTTTCAAAAAAGTATACTTATTACAATTATCTGATTATTATATAAGTTACCATTAAAGTTTATGCTTCTTTTTTTTATCTTTAAAGTAGATAAACGCAATGGTTTTACTGAGATTAAAGAATAATTGATGTACTTGAACTACTAAAATTTACATAAACCTTTACATAATCAATATGAATCAATTTTAGCTGTAAAGCAATTTGTTAATCATTTAAACTACTAGAAAAATAATAATTAATTAAATACACTTTTTCTGTTTTTGTTTGCTCATTTTGTAAAACTATATAAATAAATCATAAACTGTGTATTAAATTTAACAAGTTCATCAATGAACAAGCTTAGACAAGTCCATAAACATCTACTAATCCTTATTATGTGTAAGGGATTAAATGAAGGACTGGTCATTTATCGCTTTGGGGTGGCAATTTTAGTGTCCATCCCTTTCTTTCTTTCTTTCTTTTTCTCTCGCCTTTCATCCATATATCTCTTTCATTCTGTTTGTCGAGTCACGGTGCGATAAAAGGGCCGATCTTCGCGCCCTCAAAGGGGATTCCCCGCGGCGCGTTAAGTGTCAAACCTCGCAGCCCCAAATGTGCGGACGTCATCGCTTTTAAGAAATATTTATCATCGCCAAACACTCATTGTGTTTTATCACTATCCTTCCCAATTTTATATATTGTATATATATATAACTTCTTCCTTAGTAAAGACCACTAAATAAAACAATCCTTCAATAAGTTTGGCTTCTTAAGAATTATGTATTTAACAAAACATGATTAAAATCAATTTGATTAATTGTTTGTGAAGAAACTAAAGCGGTTTCTCAATTTGTTAAAGTCTAACGATATTTCATGTCAAATTTCAAGAAGATCGGTAAGAATGGATAGGAGAAAATACAAGATTAGTGATGTAATGTTAGTAGAAATTCTACCACCAACACTGCAAAAAATTGTTTTGCCATTCTTTACGGATTTCGACGTCAACTCAAGCCTATGCAAATTTTCCAGAAATGCCAAAATGCATATGGAGTGAATGCATAATCCCTTATGACCATTTCCAAGTGGTTTCAAAGATTCCAAACCGGACATTTTTCTCTTGAGAACGAATCTCCTGATGTTCGCCCGAAATCTTTCACCAAATGTTGCCCTGGTGAAGGCAAAAATTTACGAAGATCCAGGAAATGGTAGATTATGAACTGGGCTTGAATGCCATGGCTGTGTCGAGAATATTAAATCATCATTTGGGCTACACGAAGAAATCCGCACGAAAAAAGGCACAAGTTCGTTTTACCCAATATTTTTAGAAAAATTTGAAAATGGAGCCTTTAGGAAAATAAATGATTTAGATTATATAAATAGTAACTGGTTTATATTAATATACTTTCTAGATGTATCTGGTTTTCGTTAGGAACTTTCTAAATCTACCTTGAACAAGTGTGAAAGTGTTAAAATTTTAGGAAATGATCTCCTTTCTCTTAAAGTGTTATATTCTTTACTCCAAATCGGTTATAAGTAATGATTAATTATCCAAGTATATGAGTTTTTATGTGTGTTATTCCATACGTTAACTTGAAGGTTTTAACATGTAAATTTATTGGTTAACCGGAGGTTAAATAATAGCGAGTTCTGGACGTAACAACAACAACAAAAAATACACACTGATATAATAGATAGAGCAGATAAACTATTTTTAAAAAATGGGAATGAATCAGATAAGGGTTTCGGTTTGATTTGTGATGGGAGGAATGCGATATGAATCCTCTCTCACGCAGGAGCGTGACCGATATATCAATTAGAGGTAACCAGCGGGGCGTGGCGGACACAAAGCCAAGCCGCCGCGCCGCATCCCCTCTGAAAATGTCATCCCTATCCTCCCTACACACACACTATTCCTCTATATAGTCCTGTACCATCCCAATACCATTCGGGAGGATCCGTGGAAGCGGCACAAACACCAGAGATGAACCACCCTCTCGATATTCGATACTCTCTCAACCCCAGGCAATCAATTACAACGCTTGCGAAAATAATAAACCGTGACTAAATTTTTTATTGTCCCCAAATAAATCTATTATTTGGGTCATGGGAGAGTAATATTTTTACGCAAACTACAATCATACACGTTTATATCTTGATTGAGACTTTACACGAGAAGCACGTTTGAGATAAATAATTGTTTGCCATTGAATAGATTTTCAATGAAAACATACAATTATGTTGTTGTTGTTGTCCATTACACCATGACAATAGTTATATTAAACTGTGTGAACCTCTTCTACTATTTGAACTAATAAATCATAAAATAGTTTCTTCCATGATAAAACTGCAATTTTTATTCATTCATATATAAGTTAAATTACTTAATTATTTTTATTGCAATAATTTTAAATCAGTATTTGATTATTTTAAATGGTTTGCTTACATAATGATTATACCTTTGTTTTTTGAAATATTTAATTTATTTGAAATAATTACTCTATTTTTATGTTTTTAAAGTTTTTATAGTGTTTGTTTTTACTAAGACAATAGTTATATTAAACTGTGTGAACCTCTTCTACTATTTGAACTAATAAATCATAAAGTAGTTTCTTCCGTGATAAAACTGCAATTTTTATTTAATCTTAAGTTTAAAATAATTTTAATCCAATTTTCTATAAATATAAAAGTTAAATTACTTAATAATTGCAATAATTATAAATCAACATTTGATTATTTTAAATAGTTTGCTTAAATAATGTTTATAGCTTTGTTTTTTGAAATATTTAATTTATTTGAAATAATTTTTTTGATGTACAATAGTTTCTGTTTTCTTTAACAATTAAATAAAGTTTTTTATACTATTTGTTTTTACATAATTTATCCTTATGCAAAAATAATTACAGAATTACAATAATTTGCAAAAAAATGGACTTTTCAAAACAAGAACGTTGATTTACTTAAGTAATATTTTAATTAATAAATTAATTACTTTCACTTTGAAAAGTATAAAAATTATTTAATAATAACAAATATTTTAAGATCTAAATTAATAGAAGTTAAAAAATTAGTTGAAAGCGTTTATCTTAGGTATTTTTTTATAATCATTGTTATCAATGATTGGTGTTTCTTATGATAATTTTAAAATATTTCATTAACTAATTTGCTTATAATTATTTAAAAAATCATATGTTGATCACGTTTTCATTTAGGAACGAATTGAAATTCATATAGTATATTTTATTTTTGTTGGTAAAGGCTCCAAATCTAGCAGCAGTGTAAGATGGTGCGAAGCAGCGTTACCATAGCAACACCATCTCAACCCTCATTGGCTGCCATAGGCCGTCTCTATCGGACGGGCGTCGCGGCGCTTGGTCGCATCTCCGTCGCGATGCGCCAGACGACGCCATTGCTCGCTGTACGCGAGGAGATCGCACGGATAAACCGATCGCAAAAACCCAAATGATACGTAATTAGTTGTGTGGAACAATTAGAATGAGGAACAACGATGAATAAGCGAAACAATAGTCCCGAAGTATAATAAATACTACTACTACTATTACAAGGGAGGGCGGGTGTAGAAGCACAAAAGGATAATGAAAAGGAAAGGAAAGAATGAGGCGAATTCAAAAAAAGAAAGAAGAAAAGAGAAATATAAAAGGGCGTCGCGGAGACATTGTAAATGGGTCTTCTTATTCTCGGTGGAAAGGGGATAATTTGGATGAAAAGAAGGACAACGAGAAGCCGAAAGAGAGAGAGAGAGAGAGAGTAATAAAAAGCTTTTGAAGAATAAAAAATTAATGATTTATTCCTCTCCCTTTTGCTAGGAAAGATATTCGGTCCACGCCCGGAAAGTAACACCCGGAATACTCCGGACCGCACCGGATCCATTCCATTGAATTGTCCTCACATTTTTCTTTTATTTTTCCTCCTCTTTCTCTCCATTTCTCATATAACTTGCAGCCAGTTTTCTGTATACGCTGCGATATCCGCCAAGGAGGATAAGGAGTAAATAATAAACCTTCGATCAAAGTGCAAAGGTGGATTTAATAGAAAGAAAGAAAATAAAACAACGACAAAGGGGATAAAGGGAATAAATTGCGAAGACAATGCTCACTTTGTGACGTTCGTTTCAAGTCGACTTCGCTTGTGTCCCGGAGCCGGTTGGTGTCCTGGATGGAGTCCTGTGTCCTTCCTGTGCTCGAAACTCCGCTATAGAGATCACTAAACGCGCTTCCTGCGCCCAGAAATCCGCTCCTATCCTGGAAACAGTGAAAATAACAGATTAACTCCACATATTTCGCACTCGATTCAACCCTGAATGCACACCAATTTCAACTTCTCAAAATTCAAAACTACTTCTACAACATTAACATTTTTATACATGTACTTTACAAGTTACTTAGTAAATGTCAAGTAGTGTAAATCGTACATGTTTATGTAATATTGTATTATGGAAATGAAATGAGTGTGATATAACATAAAATAGGTACCTGGAGAGCGGCTTTCGCCTTTTCGACACTCTGTTTGAGCTGTTCGAAGGTGCTCGGATTACAGAATCGATATGCGGGCCAATCCGACGTCGTGAATTCTTCGCTTTTGATACCCAGAGGACACGTGGCTGTGGCACCTCCACCTCCGGAGCCTCTCTTCAGCTCCAGGGCTCCCTGATACGAACACGAGCTCTCGTACATCTTACGTCTTAATGGACACTTTTTCCTGCGAAAGAAAAAAATCGCATTAGCATAAAAAAAATTATGTTAGCCACATTTTCTTATATACTACATTATATATAGTCACATTATACAAAGTATATTATAAATATTAACTATTATGGTTTTCTTGTAAAGTTAAATCTTAATTTTATTGAATACAAAGTTTTATTACTGTTACAAATTCGGTAATTCCTCTTTCAGTATTAAGAAGAATCTCTGATTTACAATTAAAATTGGTTAATTTCTTAAAAATTGAATTGAATTTGAGAAAACAGAAGAGAATTGTATAGACAATAAAATACTGATTATTTAAGAAAATGTAAATTAATTACTTCAAATTGAAGAATTTCAGAAAATGTAAACTTCATTTTGTAAAGAGATTTAAACGAAATCGTAAGATTTGATTTATTATTTGTTATACTTTTAAACAAAAAATTAAAGTTTTTTCTTTTCAATTAAATGAAAATTTTATACAATAATTGAAAAAAAAATGAACATCCAAATAATTAGTAAAATTATGATTTAACATTATTTCAAGAATGTTTTTTATTTAAATGTTTAATAAGAGATTTAAACAAAAAAAATATTGATATTACATTTAGTTATTTCTTGTAACTAGGAATGTTCTAATTTCTCAATATATTTTCTTAAATAATTTTATGAATTTTTCAATTTTTGTTTATTTTTCAAGATGTATAACAAATATAGATATTTTTATGTTACTGTACATTTTATTTTTGTTAGAAACTTTATTTAATATGTAAATTCGTATGGTTATTAACAGAAAACAAACTTGTTTACTTTCGTACATAACTTCGCGATTAAAATAATTGACCAGTATAAATTTACATTCTTTTGTGGCAATCTCAAATGGAGAATGTCTAATTGTTTGTTTATGCTTAATAACTGAAAATGTTACCTCATTTTTTACAACCAAAGTGGGAAAGTACGTTACATGAAGAACAAACAAACTGAAACGTCGTTGAACTATTTGTATCGCGGATTGTTCGAAACGCTGAGGGTTAGGTGTTGTCCGGAAACCGAAAATGTTTTAAGTCACAATTCAGTTTAGTGGAGCAGTGCACTAATTGCATTCAATATTTTTAAATTACAATATCCTGGACAGCAGCAGCAGCAGGCGAAATTGGAACGCGCGTTTCTTATTGCGAAATTGCTGCTCTCCTCTCTTTCATTCTCTCACACTGTCTACTTTTATTTCGTTGTTTGTATATTTTACTTTTATTTTTTCTTTGAGAAGACGAAAGGGAGATAAACAGATGAACGAGCACACGTAACGTATCGCACGAGTTGATGAGATCTTCTGGAGAAGAGCGAGAGCACGTTTGGTCGAGATCAGGTGCTCTCGGAACTGTTGTTATCAGAGTGTTATCAAGACGACGACCACGCGAGTCTGTCTCTCTATTGGCCGCTTCCGTTTCAATTATGACACAGGAAGAGCTCCCTCATCTCATTATGCACTGTTTTACAAATTTTATTTTTAGATTGCTACGCACACACACACACACTCACACACGTAGATGGGATACGTACAAACACACACGCAAGTTACGAAATCGCCAAGCGAAATAAAAACTGAAGGTTTCACGTATTCGTACAGGTTTTTTATTTTTGCAAAAATTTTGTAAACAGTTGTTGAAAGATTTCAAACATCACTTTCCAAATTTCAATCTTTATCTTTATAATTTGAATTTTTGTCATTTAAAGTAATTAGTTTTGAAAATTTAATCAAAATATTTAAAATTCTATAGCACGTTAAATATTGTTATTTATTGACTGAATTGTTATTTGAGTTTCATCAATTATAAATATTTACAAAAACTTTAATAACTTATATTTATAATCAAATTAATAAATACATGTAATGAAAATACTTAAACGTGCAAATGTTAACATATTTTCTTATATACTGCATCATGTATAATCAAATTATATACAGTGTATTATAAATATTAACAATTATAGTTTTCTTGTAAAGTTAAATCTTAATTTTATTGAATACAAAGTTTTATTACTGTTACAAATTCCGTAATTCCTCTTTCAGTATTAAGAAGAATCTCTGATTTACAATTAAAATTGGTTAATTTCTTCAAATTGAATTGAATTTGAGAAAACATAAGTGAATTGTATAGACAATAAAGTACAGTTTATTTACTGATTACTTAAAAACTTTAATAACTTATATTTATAATCAAATTAATAAATACATGTAATGAAAATACTTAAACGTGCAAATGTTAACAGTTGTTGAAAGATTTGAAACAACACTTTCCAAATTTCAATCTTTATCTTTATAATTTGAATATGCTAATTTTTGTGATTTAAAGTAATTAGTTTTGAAAATTTAATCAAAATATTTAAAATTCTATAGCACATTAAATATTGTTATTTATTGACTGAATTGTTATTTGAGTTTCATCAATTATAAATATAATAAATATTTACAAAAACTTTAATAACTTATATTTATAATCAAATTAATAAATATATGTAATGAAAATACTTAAACGTGCAAATGTTAACATATTTTCTTATATACTACATCATGTATAATCAAATTATATACAGTATATTATAAATATTAACAATTATAGTTTTCTTGTAAAGTTAAATCTTAATTTTATTGAATACAAAGTTTTATTACTGTTACAAATTCCGTAATTCTTCTTTCAGTATTAAGAAGAATCTCTGATTTACAATTAAAATTGGTTAATTTCTTCAAATTGAATTGAATTTGGGAAAACATAAGTGAATTATATAGACAATAAAGTACAGTTTATTTACTGATTACTTAAAAACTTTAATAACTTATATTTATAATCAAATTAATAAATACATGTAATGAAAATACTTAAACGTGCAAATGTTAACATATTTTCACTCTAAAAGAAATCTGGACAAATTAATAGGGTATTTTCATAATCAAAGTCGACGTACAAATTTAACTAATTGTAGTTTAATTTCAAATAATTTATTTTTTTGGCAATTGATAATTAAGGGAAAAATATGTAAATTTAATAATACTATAAAATAATTGACAATTAAATAACTTCATTGTGAAATACATAATGATAATAATCATGTTGTTGTGTAAATACTTGATAAATTTATATCTTTATGAATTGTGATAAAAATTACAATTTTTAAATATTGTCCAAGATTATTAATAATGATATAATAACAAAAATATTTGCTTTATAACGAATTTGTTATTAATTACATTTGATTAAGTGGTTACATTTTGATGTAAGATTTTCATTAATTCAATAAATTGTTCTTCAGATTAGAAACTTAATTTGTAAAATAATCTCAATATTCAATGCTTATTAGCTAATCAAATAAATATTGGTTTAAAATAAAAGGATTATTTCAATAATTAAGTTTAAATCATTTTTGTAACAATCAATTGATACTATAGAATAATTGACAATTAAATAACTTCATTGTGAAATACGTAATGATAATAATCATGTTGTTGTGTAAATACTTGATAAATTTTGTTAAATTTATATCTTTATGAATTATGATAAAAATTACAATTTTTAATTATTGTCCAATATTATTAACATTTATATAATAACAAAAATATATGCTTTATAGCGAATTTGTTATTAATTACAGTTGATTAAGCGGTTAAATTTTGATGTAAGATTTTCATTAATTCAAAAAATTGTTCTTCAGATTAGAAACTTAATTTGTAAAATAATCTCAATATTCAATACTTGTTAGCTAATCAAATCAATATTGGTTTAAAATAAAAGGATTATTTCAATAATTAAGTTTAAATCATTTTTGTAACAATCAATTGATACCATATAATAATTGACTATTAAATAACTTCATTGTGAAATACGTAATGATAATAATCATGTTGTTGTGTAAATACTTGATAAATTTTGTTAAATTTATATCTTTATGAATTCTGATAAAAATTACAATTTTTAATTATTATCCAAGAATATTAATAATTATATAATAACCAAAATATTTGTTTTATAACGAATTTGTTATTAATTACAGTTAAATTTTGATGTAAGATTGTCATTAATTCAATAAATTGTTCTTCAGATTAGAAACTTAATTTGTAAAATAATCTCAATATTCAATACTTGTTAGCTAATCAAATCAATATTGGTTTAAAATTAAAGGATTATTTCAATAATTAAGTTTAAATCATTTGATTAATATGATTTATCTAGTAAACTTTTAGTAATCTAATAATATTGAGATTTTAACAAATAAAAAGAAGTTAATTGAAATGTATGCAAGGATATGAAAAATTTAATCGCGTAGGCTTGAAGATTTTATGGGGGCTGCGGATGCTTTGTGTGCGTATCATTCCGGAACTGATAAAAAGGAGAAACCTGCGATGAAATATTGATGGGGGGGTTTTGGTGTGTTCTTTTTATACTGTTCTTGCGCCGCCCCCCTAAAGGCAGGAGCGCCGACGGGCGGGTGAAAAAGATGCGGAATGAGCGAAGAAGACAGAACTTATCGCACCCTCCGAACGAACATCCATCATCTCGTTACAAAGGAGAATCGCAGTTTTTGCAGCAGAAAGAATAAGTAAAGGCGAAAACGAAAAACTTGTAGATTGCATTTGGGGAGAATTTATCTAATGGTATTTTAACAAGTGAGAATTCTTGTTATGAATGTCCTTTGTGGTTGTTGCCATTTGGACGGAAGCCAGGAGTCGTCGGGTACATAAATATTTATATTTTTGTACACGTATGAACGTTGTGTGTTTGATTCTTAGTTTCCGGTTTTACCGGAAGCGTGTAAGATGTTAATGTTATTATCAGTGGATGGATGCTTGCTTACCTAATTGGCAATAGGTCAGTCACATGTGTATGAAATCACTCTGGTTGATGATGGTCGGTTTATTTTGTTCGCCGAAGGAATGTCATTGATCGCGCGTCGAAAACAAAATCGCACAAGAATGGGGGGGCGGTTGGAACACGGTTTGTGATTGGTATCCTGTGTGTCACAAAAGTCTATTATTGCTGCTAGGTCGAGGATGCGTTCTGCAGGTGTGTGCATTGGTGGCTTCCTTGACTTGAAAAGGGATGTTGTAGATACGGCAACGTGGGTGGCGGCGGCGGCGGCGAGAATCAGTCAATGATAGCAGGAAGACAGGAAGTGTACAGGTCCTGCGGAACCCGGAGCGCCGGCAGGAATGGCAGGAAGCAATATCGCAAGTGGCGGTTCCTCCGAAGGCGTGGCTTTGCCCCCTCTCCGTGCGGCGCCACCCCCCTCGTACACAAGTCGCGGGGGGGTGGTTTCGACGCCGAATAGAGCGGAGATAAACCCTCTCCGTGGATCACCACCACCGCCGCCGCCGCCTAGGATCCGTTCCTTCCCCGGCACCTCCACTTCTTCCAACTTCAATCCGACGACAACCACCGCCTCCCATTTTCCATCTCCTCCTCCTCTTTATTTTTTTTTTGAACATTAGCAATAATTAGTATGGTTCGGATTTTATTTGCGGATATCCTCGACTTCCCCCGCAAATATTTTAGATACTTTATCTCACGAAAGCTCAATCACGCTTTTACCTGTTGAGCTTTTGTATAATTGACTTGACTGGACGTTCGCCGACTCCAACCAAAACCATCCCCCCCCCCCTCGACACCCGCATCGATCGGTTTTTAAACTTTTCCGAAAAAGCTCAACACATTCCATCCTTCCGTCAACTTCCGACACAAATCTGCAAAATACAACACACATAAACATCCCCTTATTCTATTTACCAATCAATATTTACATTATTAAACACCAATCACACATCCTCTCAACAATCTAATACAAAAAAAATGAAATTTATTAAATTTACGTTTCTCTTCGTTATTACCTATACTTCATTTTTGAGAATCATTCATGAAAAATACAAATTTACAAGCTTTCTCTCAACTATTTTAAGACTTATTAGGACATTTTGTAATTCATTTAAAATAATCCTTTCAATCACATTTACATTATTTTTCAAATAAATCAACAAAAAAAAATGAGTTTTAATAAATATATGAGCCGTTTATTTTGAAAGTGACTTAAGTCCATTTATCTTTAATTTGCAATACTTAAGCTTTTGCGTTTTTTCCAAAATTAAAAATTATACGTAAGATATATGGTTGACTTGCAATGTTAAATCGCATTTAAGGGATTTAATTTTATACATCCTATTAAAAAGTCGCTATTATTAAGTGTATAATATGACCTTTCTTACCTTAAAAGGACTTAGGTCACTTTCAAAATAAAAATTTGTTTTGTTACAAAAAGTGAAAGAGCTTAAGTACATTACATATAGCTTAAAAAATAGAAGAAAACAAACATTTAAATTATATTTTTAGATAATAGAAATAAATTTAGTAACAAGTTATTCGTTAACATTCTCAGTATGCGGGAGTGATTTGAAGTAGTTATGTAGTCGGTATTTTAGTGATGTGATGCTTCTTATACTTTTATATAACAATGGCAATACAATATTCTCAATTTTTTTTAGGTCTGCCCCGACGTGGCAATAAATCAAGAATTTTAAATTCTGCGTTCTCATCCATGGTTGTTTTGTATAAAATTGTATATGGTTCATTTCTTAAAAATCGCATCCAGCATATTTGAAGCCAGTTTATTTTTTCTCCGTTGGTATTTTTGGATCTTTTGTAAACTGTAGTATTAACCAATACGTAAAACTCTCATTTCTACATGAACCTTTTCCGTTTCTCTGACGTTTTCTTTTTACAACACTGCGTCCGGTCGCTTCGTATAGCAATATATTTTGCTTATTAAAGTCTCCCAAGTTCCAAAACATTTCGAAAATACATTTTCTTTCTGTTTCATTTAAATTTTTCAAGCAGTCTTTTCGGCATTGGCAATCTTCATTTTGAAAAACTTTGGCAGGAATAATTTTGCTGTTTTGTAAATTCTCATTCTCAATTACTTCCTCTTCCTCTGTTGAAGAATGAACTTCTAAAATTCTCCTCCTTTTTTTTGAAATCTGTTGTAAGAAATCGCATTCAGCATATTTTTCTCCTTCTTTTTTTTAAATCTGTTGCACGAGTTTAATTCCTCTTCACTTTCAGAATCAAGAAATCTTGTTATTTTATCCTTTCCCATGGGTTTAATAATTTCTTTAAATTAAATATTATTTTTTAAATTTCAATTTAATATCGTAAAACGTAATTTAAATTACCTTCATCACTGCTTTCAACATTTTGGGCCGCACTTTTTGACATCGTCAAAAAAAGTGGACTTAGGTCACTTTCAAAATTAGGATTTTCAGTATTTATATTATTTTGAAAATGTACGTGATATAAAATTTTCAAATGTACTAAGTATATTTCAATACCGATTTATTTTTTTTGACAGTTCAGCATAAATTATAAATGTCACAAGTGCCAACTTGATAAAAGATGAAAATGGACTTAAGCCACTTTCAAAATAAACGGCTCATATAATATATTTAAATAATGATAAACTAGTTGTAAACTGTACTTAAAATAGACGAATTTAGATTGTATCAATTATCAACATTTGTGTTTTCTATGGGTCAGTATTGAACAGTGGATGGCATCATCTTGGGGCCCACCCTGTGGGTCCTTCTCCCATCATTGACTGTGTGGGGCCTGGGGTGTCCAGCGAAGAGGAGGAGGCACACGCTACCTGGAAGTGACGTCACGTACGAAGGGCCAGATTCAGGTCCGGCACGCGATGCATTAATATTAAGTGTACGTTCGGCCCCCCTCCGGAGGATCCCCAGGACTCTCCGTCTTATTTATTATCTTTCGCCACACCACGCCACATCCAAACCTTAAAGACCCGAAGAAACCAAAAGAAAAATACAAGTAAAACAAGAAACACGGACACGAATAATAGCTTATGCTTACAAAACTGGAGAAAGGCAAAAGAAAATGTCGAATTTTATGATTGACTATAAAATTAAAAACTATGTTAAAGTTGTGGAAATCAATTAAAGTTGTAATTGATACGTTTTTGGAAGATTTTTTTTTTACTGTTGATGTATTGGCTGGTAATAAAATCTCAATTTTCTGGTTTTACGAGGGAACTATGAATGTAAATGATACAAAAATATAAAGCGGTATGTGTGCAGAGGGTCATCAGTCATTGTCAGGAAAAGGTAACAATTATGACATATCGAAGCGGCGTGTCGCATGTAAAACAAACCGAACGTTCCGCTCCCCAAAAAGAGAAAAATAAATGAAAGAAATCAAGTATAAAACATGTAAAAATTGCGGCGGCGAGAAATTTTTCGCTAATTCCGCCCCGAACTAATAATTTACTAAAGATTAATGCCCTTCGAAAAAGAAAAAAAAAAAGAATAAATACTTGCACGTAAATGTGATCAATCAAAATGGATTCCTTGAATGGAATTAGGTAGTTATTTGCGTTTATTATTGTGACATGGTTAATGCAGATTTGGATTTTCATATAATTAATATTAGATTTTGATTTTTTTTGCCCAATTGAACAGGAAGTTTTCAGAACGATGTATTTTTTATTTGCAATTGGATTTTATTGAACCAAAGGCAAAGAATGTTGGAAAACTATTAAAATTTTCCAAAGTCGCACGCTGTATGGAAGTGAACCTGGGCAATCTTCCTCCATTCACGAAGAAGGGCTTTCATGAGCACATTAACACTCTGATGCAGAATCTTCTTGAAACGTCCACTCTTTCTGATTGAAATGTTTGGTTTTCCAGGACTTCAGAATACTTTCCAATACTTTTTCGCAGTAGATATTTGCATTAAGTTTGACGCCGCGGTCCAAAAACACCAACGAAAAGCGTCTATCGACCGTCACAGCCTCCCAAACTATCACAAACGGTTCTACTTGACTTCTTGTGACCATTCGAATGTCTAAATTTTCGTTTGATCTCTCTTCTAAATAAATTCGATCATTTTGTTTGTTTACGAATTTCTCAATTAGAAAATTTTTCTCATCAGATAAGCCAATATTTGGCAATTGGCTGTTTTCGTGCAAGCGCAACAGCTCATTCGCTCTATCGAGCCTAGTTTTCTTTTGAACATCGGTGAGATCTTGTCCTTTTTGGAACTTGTAAAGCTTCACTTTGAGTTCGATTTTGAGTATTCGTTGCATGATTATTTTCTATATGTTCAGTTGAGTAGAAATTTGTCTTCCACTGCGTCGCGGATTTCATTCAATTCGAACCTTAAGTTTCCGAATCACTTCTACCACAGATTTAGTTTTTTTTCGACCACCAAAATAGCATTTTGTAACACTACTATCTTCGTTATAACGTGTTATGGTTCGAGACACGAAATATTTATTCATATTAACAATAGCTTCTTTTTGGTTTTCCGTCCTAATATGGGACTATCATACAATTACGTTTGAATTCCATCACTGATAATTTTTGTTCCAAAAAACTGAGATGCAAATGCTTCCGCTTGTAAACAATAAAATCGAAAGTTATAGCAGTTTCAAGTTGGTTGCAGTTCAATTGGGACACCCTGTATAAAAATAATAATACAATGACGTTTATTTAATAAAAATCTAATTTATTTTATAACAATTTATTTCAGTACATTTAATTGTATTTTGTTATTTCTTAACCTATTCCTCCTTTTACACGGTACTTTCATTACGTTTTTTTTTAATTAATAAATAAATGTTGTAAATAACCTTTTTTTTTTGCATACTTATCAATTCACATTGAAAAAGATGCAAGAACCTATCTACCGTGTAAATGTGGGGATAAATGTATTGTATATTCTTTAATATAATTATTTCTTTGATATTTGGTACGAAATTTAACACCATTTTTATAATAATTAAAATTTTAACCTTCAATTTATTAGTTTATATTCTTAAAGGTTGATGGACAAATTTAAGTGAAATATTTTATTAATAGAGTTTTGCTATTAAAGCAGCATAATAACAATTTTATAATTAGAATATTTCATTTTAAATAAAAAAAATTGATTATTAAGTGAGTCAAGTTGAAAATCTTTCATTTAATTTTGTGATCATTAAGAAATACAAGAAATCTTTGTTACGCAGATTTACATTTCATTTTTTATGAATGATAATTTCTATTTTTAAGCTGCAATGAAAATTTTAATAGAAGACAACTTAGCATTATATATTTTCTACTATATTCTAATTGATATAAACCATTGTTTTATAAGTAGTAGTAGCAGTTGTCGATTGAATACTTGACTATGTAATATCTGCTCTAATAACTGGAGGTTATTATTGTATATCCGCATGGATTATGGTATTGTCTGAAATTAAGGATGGTAGGAAATATGAAGGAAGTAAAGACTGCTTCTGGATTTATTTATAAGAACTGGAAGCGAAGCGTGCATAAATACCGAGCAGCCATTGATACACTTGAAACGTATCGCAGGGTGGGAATCTGTTCCACCCGGGGAAGGGTGGGGCAGTCTCTGAAGAATGCACAACGCCGTAAAGTTGCATAATTGCCCGTCGTTTCTTTTATTACCGCAACAATTAAGGTCGCGCTCTGCGGGATCGAAAGGATACGAACGTGCATGATGCCGCATGACATAATTGGTTGGCAGAAGTCCGGGAGTGATCAAAGAGGTCCGATGGCGTCATTATGTCCTTAACTGTCGCTGGAGATCATCACGCCTTCCTGGCTCCCGATAATGTCCTCCTCCTCCTCATTCTCCACCTCTCTTTGCGGTGGTGGGTGAGGAGGGTTTGGATGGATGGTTGGAAGGAGGAGGAGAGGATGGAACCAGCCGCCTCCGCCAACCCTAATGACGCGACGCGATACACGAATCACTCCAGAATACCGTATCGCCCGCGCCGTCATTCCCGGACGCCGATAAAGCCCTCCGCAAACCAGAAATCACGATATCGATTATGGAATAAATCCTCCTCATGATATGCCTCTTGATACACAAATATATATATACCTCTAACACCACACGACGACCCACTTAGTATTCCCGACGTGCACGATCTTCGGTTTCCTCTCACCTACTCAAACCGCATTTATCGAAACGTTACCTATCAAAACGCACAATTTCAACTAATCCACACAACCAAAGTTGAATATACAAATAATTAAATTAATCACAGTTCAGTTGATTAATGCAACAAAATGTTTCTTTTTAAGATTTCAATGTGTTTTATGTATATTGTCACTAATGAATTCAGTAATTTTAATGATTTTATTATAACGAACTTTAAATTTATTTATATAGAATATTATGATTTTTGAATGATTCTCTATAAAATTTAAAAAAATCAAAATTTAAAAACACAAATATGACAACTGTGCAGTGTGGAATTGTCGTGTAATTTTCAGTTTTTTTTTAAATTTATATAATATTTATTTTAATTTACTTGTTTGCTGTATTTTTATGAGTCTTTTGCGATTGTGATAGAGGCTAATGACCTAAGCTGTCGATGCCTCATAAACACACAAAAAAAAAACAAGAATTTATACACTTTTACTTATAAACGTATTACTGTTCTTGAAATTTACTAATAACAAATTTGTAGAGAACTCAAAATGTTCTTAAAAATATCAAAATTGTGTATAGAAAACATTAGATTTACAAGTATAGTAAAATTTGTCGTTGACATGTGACATTGACATATGCTGTCAAATTTGAAAGATCAAAATAAAACGCACAATTTCAGCAAATTCACACAACCAAAGTTGAATATACAAACAATTAAAAAAATAATTATATTAATCACAGTTCAGTTGATTAATGCAACAAAATGTTTCTTTTTAAGATTTCAATGTGTTTTATGTATATTGTCTGGACTAATGAATTCAGTAATTTTAATGATTTTATTATAACGAACTTTAAATTTATTTATATAGAATATTATGATTTTTGAATGATTCTCAGTAAAATTAAAAAAAATCAAAATTTAAACACAATAAAAACACAAATATGACAACTGTACAGTGTGGAATTGTCGTGTAATTTTCTGTTTTTTTTTAAATTTATATAATATTTATTTTAATTTACTTGTTTGCTGTATTTTTATGAGTCTTTTGCGATTGTGATAGAGGCTAATGACCTAAGCTGTCGATGCCTCATAAACACACACAAAAAAAAAACAAGAATTTATACATTTTTACTTATAAACGTATTACTGTTCTTGAAATTTACTAATAACTAATTTGTAGAGAACTCAAAATGTTCTTAAAAATATCAAAATTGTGTATAGAAAACATTAGATTTACAAGTATAGTAAAATTTGTCGTTGACATGTGACATTGACATATGCTGTCAAATTTGAAAGATCAAAATAAAACGCACAATTTCAGCAAATTCACACAACCAAAGTTGAATATACAAACAATTAAAAAAATAATTATATTAATCACAGTTCAGTTGATTAATGCAACAAAATGTTTCTTTTTAAGATTTCAATGTTTTTTTTTATGTATATTATTCTAATCCTCATGAAACCAATAAATATCAACTTCTAAATTAACAATGAATTCAATATTTTTTTTTTTATAACGAATATGTTTGTAACTTTAAATTTATTTAAATAGAATAATATGATTTTTGAATGATTCTCAGTGAAATTAAAAATAAAAATTTCAAAATTTTAAATTAAAAACATAAGTATCAAAACTGTACAGTGTGGATATGTAGTGTAATTTTGTAGTTTTCTAAAATGTAAATAACAATATGAAAAAGTCGTTTCCGTATTTTATAAATTTACTGTTTATACAATTTTACTTATAAACGTATTACTTCGTGAATTGAGTCTTTATGCATTTGTGGGACTAATAGCCGAATTGTTTAGTTGCCCTAGCCACGAGTTAGTGGGCACAGGTTCAAATCCTGGTCAAGACAGGCCCATTTGTGAGCCCTCTCGGTCCTCTCGTTCATCACAGATGGACACTGAAATGAATGAGGATCAACATATGGACTTTCTTCAGCCAAGTCGATGGACAATGACAGTCTTAAGAATTGTAGCAGATTCTTAGTGAAAAGAAATATTGGGATAGTGGAAAAAATCATCATAATGGTAACTATCCACTGGGAAACATTATCCAATTAATATCAACCGCGATTTTACATTTACTCAATGTTCACATTGATGAACAGATTGTGAATGAAATTATACGACATAAAAAAATGTATTTGTTATATTTAAGAATAATTTGTATTGGATATATTAAAATTAGTATACAAATTGGAATTAAATTTCTTGAAAATTATAAATGTATGTAATAAACCATCTAATAAAACTCTCATTCCTGTCTTCTGCCAACTTATATACTAATGTTTTTTGAACTCTAGTTTTACAAGGAAAACAAGATATTGAGATGTTAAATTGTTAAAGCAATGTTTGTATTAGCATTTATTTCAATTGTCGTGTCCCAGGGATAGAATTCTGGACACAGTGGAATATTGTCTGGTGTTGTCGTTGTGAAATCTCAATAGTTGGGAATTTAATGAAATTCGTTTGGTTTTACATAACTTTATTCGTTACTTGGTCGATTTAAGATTCATCTGAGACTATGCTCATCATATTAAGATTCTTATAAGACTATGTTCAACTTATTAAGGTTTTACTGAGACTGATTCTAAATACTTATTCTACTTACAAAGTTTTAACCATTACCCCCAAAATATTATTGCGTAAGTCGATATTACATCCCCCCATTCTGAATTCATGAAACAATCAATGTAAATTTTAA